TGCTGCGGGGCCCCATGCTGCTGCGCTCATCTGCTGCTGGCTGACGAACAGCATAAAGCCCCAAAGCCTTCTCGGTGAGCCCTTCAGGTAAAATAATTCTTGCTGCTGTTGTTGCTGCTGTTGCTGCTGCTGCTGTTGCTGCTGCTGCTGCTGCTGCTGCTGGTTGTTCTTGTTGCTGTTGTGCTTCTCCTGCTTCTGTTTCTGTTTCTGTATCTGCTGCAGTTGCTGCTGCTTCTGCTGCTGTTTCTGCTGCTGCTTCTGCTGCTGTTTCTGCTGCTTGTACGCTATCCTCATCACCACCACCATCACCACCATCACCACCATCACCACCATCACCATCATCCTCAGCAGCAGCAGCAGGAGCAGCAGCAGCAGCAGCAGCAGGAGCAGCAGCAGCAGGAGGCAGCAATCCATGTATCCTAAAGGCTCTAAGCAACGCAGCTAGCAGCTGATAGACTGTTGTTGCTGGGGGGATGTTGAGGACCACCAACGAACCACTGGTCGGACCAGGCCAAGGGCAAGATAGACCACCAGCAGAAGGAGACAAACCCAGATTCAGACGCAGCTGCATAAACAATAAATATATATATATATATATATATAAATATATTTATTTATATTTATTTATATTTATATTTATATAGATTTATTTATATATAGGCCAAGGGCAAGATAGACCACCAACAGAAGGAGACAAACCCAGATTCAGACGCAGCTGCATGCAGAACAAATATATATAAATAAATGTATTTATTTATTTATTTATTTGTGTGTAGATAGATTTATATAGATATATATGTAAAGGGCAAGATAGACCACCAACAGAAGGAGATAAACCCAGACTCAGACGCAGCTGCATACACAACAAATATATAAATATATTTATATTTATTTATATTTATATTTATGTTTATGTTTATATTTATATTTATATAGATATACAGGTAAAGGGCAAGATAAACCACAAACACAAGGAGACAAACCCAGACTCAAACGCAGCTGCATGCACAACAAATATATTTATTTATTTACATATTTATACATTTATATATAAATATAAAAATATATAAATATATATATATATATATACACACATATATATATATATATAAATATTATATATATTATATATTATATATATAAGAATATAGAGCTTACAGAGATGGTGGCTGGGGCCATACTTCTGGGGGGTCCCCTCTTAAAAAGGAGACAGTTGTTTGTGATTTGTTTAATTATTTTTTTATCTTCATTTGTATGAATAGTATTAAACCTAGAGAAATAATTTTTATTATAATTAATATTATTTATATTATTTATATTTATATTTTTATTGTTTGCATGCAGCCCCACAAGTATAACAAAGTGCGCACCACGAGATACGTTTAGTTTATCTACTGCTTCTCTTATTGGGAGAGAAGGAGACAGTCTCCTTATTGTTGTTTCTGGTGTTTGTTTCTCTTGTATCCATGGAGAGATAGGTAGTTTACTATTATTATAATTATTATAAGTAAGAGAAGGATTTATATTTATATTTGTTGCTGTTGTTTTGGGGCGATGATGATGGTGGGGTTGTTGTGTGTTTATATTTATATTTATATTTGTATTTGTGTTTATATTTATATTTGTAGATGAGGATACACCTGAACCTGGCTCAGCAATATAAAGAGAAAATAAATGTTGTAGTGTGGGGTGTCTCTGTACTTTGTCTCTGCATTGAGGCAACAATAAACCCTTTATAAATTCGGAGACAGGGAGACGGGATCGTGTATTGGAGACTGTTAGTTGTTTATTAGAGAAAGGATATTTATAAACAGCAATAGGCAACAACACCACCTGTGCCGCCAGTCTCTCTCTGAGCCAAGCAACAACTCTATGTGTATATGTATGTGTATGTGTATGTGTATGTGTATGTGTGTGTGTATGTGTGTGTGTATGTTTGTGTGTGTGTGGGGCGGGGAGAGAGGGAGGAGGAGACAGTTGGTGTGTGTTTTTTTCTGTATTGTATAGTTCATCAGCTGGATTTGTATGTGTAAATAGAAATAAAATAATATTTTTACTTTCTATATTATTTTTTTCTTTATCAAAGATATGTTGTTTTAATATATCTATAACTTTATGTTTATCTATACGAAAGGGATTTTTATATAAAAATTTTTGTAGTGTCTCTTTTGTTTTTTTTTTTAGTACTCTATATATATTATTTAATGTTGTAGCGAGCAACCCCACCCCAGTAACCACCACAGATGCTAAACCTAAAGAAGATAAAACACTTCCCCCTAGTATACTAGCTTGGTGAGATAGAGACAAGGAGACAGCTGCTTCTGGGGTTTCATAGTATCGACCATCACCGGCGAAATATGCGCCCCCAGCTGTCTGGCCGAATACATTCCCCACCCACTGCTCGCTGCTCTTTGCTAGGCCTGCAGCATAGCTGTGTATATATATTTATATTTATACACAAAAAAAACAAACACAAACACACACATAAATTAAAATATATATATATTATTGTGGTTTAGGGATAGGGATCCGTGATTGTTTTTTTGGGGGGTTGGTTGTTTATTTATTTGTTTATTTAGTTTTTTTTTATTTGTTTATTTAGTTTTTTATTTGTTTATTTGTTTATTTGTTTATTTGTTTATTTAATTATTTTATATGGACTATAGAAGAGCTGTTGATGAA